CTCCTTTTCAGGACACTCTCGAGCTCGCCAAATATAATTCACCTATGAATACTGGAGTCAGTGAGGCACCTGCAAACGCTAATACGAGTAATTTCTTCTTAGGCGAATTCGTAATCAAATCAACTTCTCCCATCAACTACTCGGGTGCCTGAAACTCCAGTACGATATTAATGAGGTACTATAATAGTAATTGCGGAGCCAGCGAGGCATATACCGCAACATCGCGCGCGTGCGTTCAGAATCATTCTGGCTTAACTACGGAGCGTAGAAAGCCACCAGATAGATCAAATAACTCCTCTATATGCCGAGGTCTCGGGAAAGAATCGGAAACTGGATTATGCAAACAGCTCGACGAGATACGCACGAAAAACTTTAATGCCTTAAAAATGTCTTACCCGGGGATCGAACCGGGGATCTATGTGAAATTCATTGATCGAATCAATAGACGTGGACTGAGTGAGCTCCGCCCTTCGTCACGAAGGCCCAGTATATACAGAGTACCATCACTAGTAATATAGTGATAGAATTTGGTTATAGGGATAGGTTGTGGTATACGTGGTTGATATGATTTATCCCTAATGATTATCGGCTCATGTCGTGCGTCCGACAAATTATCTTCCATGAGGTAAAGTGTCTCACCAGTTATAGCCGTTATTGATACATGAAGACAAGTGAGTTTAATACCTTCCTTTGTTTTGTTCATGGCAGAGAGAGAGAAAAACTATGCCAATTTTTTATTACTCCCATTGATCGAATGATAATGATATACTTGCGATACGGTATCTTATTATAATTCCATCATGTGGTATTGCCATTTCAACTGTTGTTACAATGATTCGATTCTAAAATTCATAAATATTCGTAATCTACCCGAATTTGCCGGAGGAAAAATTCGCTACTGCAAGTTGTCACTGACATGAAAGAAATACCCAAGAGTAATATTTCAATTCATCGAAACCTCTCTCACAATACGCGCTCCTACTTTCCCTTCCGGCACTATAAACAGTCTCATCGACAGTTAGAATGTGTAGAAATTAAAGCCCCCATAAGCTTACCAGAATTTCACCTAATTCCCATCTTGTCACCAGTACCAAATACCCTGCACTACCAGTTTCCTTGAAAATATTTCCTGCCAAGAAATGAGTGTTGTTTTCCACCAACACCACTGATTCTGAAAACCTCTACTACTACTACTACTACTACTACTACTACTACTACTACTACTACTACTACTACCGACTAACACTACTCCTTGTGAATATTATTACCAGAACCATCCATGATGCCTTGCGTGAGGATACTGAGTGCCGTTGAGATTCCAGACGATGAATTTTGCTGTTCAAGTTGAACAACTGCGATGTAGGAGCTCGAGATCATCTAGGAAAGAAGATAATGTGGATTCTGTTCTCATGAATGATCAAGTCCCCTCATGTGAACTACGGATCCTCTCCAACTCCAACCAATCTATGCAACCCAAGCTACTGCAAATAAACTACGCACACACTCATAGCATATCGACAATATGATATTACCCGAAAATGACGATACAGCAGCTTACGCTGGAACTAGAAAAGTTTCACCTTTTTCAGGGAAAATTCCGAAATAAAAATTTTCCTTTCTCAAATACGAAGTTCTCCGAGATGTATATTAAAATTTACATCGGACGTCAAACCCGGATTGATTGCGTCTGGTCGACACATTTTTCGGTGAGAAAATTTCAGCGTCGAATAGTAGTTGTACTACGCTCACCTTAGCTGAGGACCCTAGAAAGTCGCGTCTTGATACATGCACCAATGCATCGAGGATCTTAGTGGGAACTACAGCAAAGCTGGAGGAATATATTTCAAGAGCTATGGGAAGTGACTACATTCTCATGAGTGTCCGATAGCGAACTTTGCTAAGCGAAGTTGAATAGATCAACTGAGGCTTCAATCTGACCGGAATCGCTGACTGTGGGCTGCATTCGGGAGAAATATTGGGGCGAAGCGATACGTAGTATAAAGGATAGAAAAAGTGAAATATTGTGAACTACTATACAGGGAATCATCCAGGAACTTCCGGGGGGTACATCATTTTGAATTGCCCACGTATGGTGAGTAAGGCATTCTCCGACCATTCCCCACGTACAAGTCATTAAGGGCATCGTCTTTCTCACTGTTATGAAACCCTTTCTCAAAGTTGGATGAGTAGACGCTGCTATTATATACTCGAATGCCTAGATCAAGCCTGGACCTTCAAGGGGAAGTTCGAGAGTCTGAGCCACTACCCCATAAATTCTTTGCGAATTTATAGCGCTACACGCTCGAACAGTCGTTACATCATAAACCTATTCTGTATCTAACGAGAGACAACCTCAGCAAGCATATCGCCCTGAGTGATGTACTTAGTACTATGATAATGACACTTCTGGAATTGCTGCTGCTGCTTCTGCTGGATCTGTCGGATAATGCCACCACGTCGGCTCAACACTGATCATCATCATCATCATCCATTGCACATTGGATCCATCATCTATACTCCAACTCCTAAGCGTCTCATTAGCATCAGCGGGTGCTATTTCAACCTTCCTTAATTGGTGAGGAAACTCCCGAGCTAATGGCAGCCACCATATGCTCCTTCAACAGTGTTGTAAACTGCATCGACATGTCAGGTCCTCCGCTCACTATAACTTGAGTGTGTTTTACACTAACAACCGATTCACAATACACTTCAATGTGGATATAAAAATCGGTGTTCACCCACCATTTTTCACAAAATGGCAGACATGATTCGCCTCGCTCCGCTGTTGCAAATCGCGCGCGCCTGCATCATAATATATCGCGATGTTACCCTTCAGCATTTTATTGAGGAAACTCTTATTGTCGCCAGTTTCGGTGCATTTCTACTACTCGAATTCGTATGTAAGCTCTTGAGTGATTAGTGTGTTAACTCAGGTGAGGAAAGTTAACCTATATTCCCCCCAACACTGGGCGTCGTGATTCTCAAAAGGAGGTTTCTTATTGATTTCGAATCGCAATTTATCCGCATATCGACTTGTTACAATTGATTACAATAGGATAGTCTCATGAACCGACTAATGCGATGGTAATTCCCGCAAGGTCGAATGAGATGTGATGACGATGGTAATAATAATGACGGTGGTTAGGGATGAATTAAACTTGAATGTAGTTGTGGACTATATACTGTCGTATTAACTGTGTGTTCGTTCCTTCAAACTGTTCTCCTACTACCGGAGTTTCACGCGAAGTTGGCGTAATATTCCATGCGATATGAGGTGAATTGAAAGCGGCACTACCTGAATTTCACGGGACAAATCACGCCGCCTAGTAGATCAATGTCTTAGACACCCTTCGACCGACACTATTCCACACTTTCTCACTAAGAAAGGCTGATGATGGTATGCAATCAAGTGCTCGACGAGGGCTTACTAAGCATGCCTTGTCATGCGAGTATTGGAAGATGGTGCCGGGTCAACCACAAGCCCAAATGGCGTGCCCAAGTGGACACTAGCTCTATCAAGGCGATATGCCTGACGGATCGAGATGCTTCTGAGGCACCGGAATCTTAGCGTCTCAGAATGGCCGACGCCAACGACCAGGCTGTGGAGTCTTGCACTAATTACAGCAGCTTACATGAAAATTCGGGTACAAATGTACAGAAACCGACATGAGTCTACTACAATCCTACCAATATTTTCATATCGTCATCACCGCCACATCATGTGTCACACATGTAGTTGATCATGTGCATTTTTCTCGGCGAGAGCATCTTCAGATTAGACCGACTTTCCTTAAACTCGAATCCTTCCTATCAAAGTATTTTAACTCTCGTCTGCACTTGTTCAATCTTGTCCTCCAACTTCATATTCACAAAACCATACCCTGTCGACCCCCACCCCACAACGATCGGCTCTCTCGAACACAGTGACCTCACCTATTTAATACAGTACGTGCCAATTTAATGTTCGTTATTTTCGGAGAATCGATTTCATACTGTATCGCATATACAATGTAATGATGGCTATGAACATGTGTTGTGACGTCAATACCCGCTTGGGACTGTGATAGCGACATCTTGTTTACTATCAGCATTTGTCATCCATAATAACACACATTTTCATATCAAATTTACACGTACTGTATACGGCGAACGACGTTTGCGACCAGTAACAACTTCGCTCTTCTGTCAACATGAACTCAAATTGTTAATGTGCAGCCTGAGCGCGTCTTCTTGTGCGGTTCAGAAGCGCTCACCCTCAAGTGCCGACAAGCTCGCATCAGAATCGACATTCCTAACGTCAGGTGCAAGTCCAATCCAATGGAATAGTTGTGCTCTCTTGTAATTCGAAATACATGATATTCCCATCTTGGACATAACCTGAGAACGACAGCTCTTCGTTGAGAAAACACTCGCGTTGGAGCTATACGAAAATATTAACGACATATACTCCCTGCTGGCCTAATGGATAAGACGGCACGCTCCTAAGATAGAGAATCTGAGTTCAATATTCAGGTAGGGTATATTCCCCCACCTACCTCGAGAATACCAGCATGTGCAGCCGCTCTATAATTCTTTCCCATCTTACTCAAACTCATTACCACCACGGCCGACTCTTTTCCCATGCGCTCGCGCGAATAACGCGAGATCCGCCCCTTCTCCGAGGAGACCTAGTTTTAACGTATCATGTCATATACTGTCACAGTATATGACATGACACATACCACAGTGGTAAGTTACCAGTGGTAACTTAACGCAAGCAAAAGAGACGTGTAGATAATTCGTGTAGTACGACGATCGAAATACGGCAATCATGTTTGCGAGATCAAAACCAGTTCATCATATAGAATGTGAACACCTAGAATGTGAACGATAGACAAATCTCATAAATGTTAACATATTGCACCTTGGTGCCCTGCGCATTCGTCGAGCTCATCGCACGCCATTCCAGAAGGGCACACTGCATCCCATCAGCAATCGTGAGGCATCCGAGCCCTCCGTTCCTCTCCAACAATAGACACTTCTCCTCGTCGCGGAGCAACTTGAGCGGCGGACCATCCACACACGTACTGACATGAGCGATGATATGATGACGACGAGAATTCACAGTGGGCAATGCCCACTGGGCATATGCAGACGCACTCATATAACCGCCACTCTAATAGAACGAGTGTATCACTAAAGTATATATAAAGATAACAAAGATTGTCTATTATAGACATTGCTGTAGCTGTAGCTGTTGTTGTTGCTGCTGCGGTTGTTATTGTTGTTGTTATTGTTGTTGTTATTGCTGCTGCTCTTGTTATTGCGGTAGTTGCTGTTGTACGCAACTTTTATCCCTCGCAAGTTGCGAGGGAGCTCGAAGGATCAATGAGCGTGAAACTCATTTGTTACACTCTCAACATATACCTTAACTCCGTTTGTACCCATCACAGCCTGTGATTCACAGGCAGTGACCCATCGTTTTATACGCGATGCTTAAGCTTAAAGAATGATAACCGGGAGGCCCAGAGGATGGTCCATGATAAAAGCGGCGCAGAATAGCGGGGGGGGGTGACGAATTGAGAGCACCCCTTACCGACATGCTGGGCAGTGGTAAGGATGATAGACGTGAACAGGTCACGCTT